CAAACATACATGCAGAATGTATTACCACAGCGTAGAAATTTGGATACAAAGTAATGTTGCGTCATCGAGGTCACGTGACTGTTGTGGCGCCCTCTAGTTTCTAGAACTATCTTGTTCCTTCATGAATGCTCTAGTATTTACTAGATATAGGGTAGTCGGGTATATAAAAGAGGGGGGACAACGTGACGCGGTAACGTGTGTATAGACAGTGAGTAATTGAACTGTAGTCAGAGAGCACGAGATACGTTACATCGTTTGTTCAGCGCGATTGTTGAAGTTGAGTGTATCGGTAAAGTTATATTCGGAAAGAATAAACCAGTTGTATTAAGAAAGGACTTGTGTCACTTAAGTTTCGTCGGAACGAAGTTACGGAAAATCAATTAACAAACGGAGACGTAACAGTAACTTATGTAGTGTGTAAACTCATTCGCTTAATAGTTATACCAGATTTTATTCACACATACACACAGATCTTTATTTTGCGTCGTGATCACTCCTCGAATTATAAAATGTCGCTGATATCAGTCACTTGTGCTTTCAGTTCTCAGAAATTTGTTTAAGTAGACTATTTTAAATACAGGTGGGCGTTCTTTATGCAGTTGGGTGACCAATTTCTCTTAGGAGTGTGGAAGCTATAATTAAAGTTTATATATAAAATTTAAATGCACCTAAAATTACTTGTGGTTTCAACTGGACCATTATACACAATTCAAAATTTGATGTTCTAGACGGCAATAAACTTCAATCCCGGCTGACCAGTCCCGTTACACACACACATACTAAGTTTATGCATAACAGTGAAGTCAAGTTACAGATTTATTTTCTTTATTGAAAAAAAGAAAGAAAAAGATTTACTTAAAAGCCAAAACTTGTGACGATTATAAGAAATAACATGGGTTTTCTTCGCCATTTTCAAAACTCCACTTTTCATAAAATTGTATAACAATATTCATATTTCCAGGTAGCGTGCGCTAAATGAAAATGATTGATTTTTCAAAAGTGAAAAAAAAAATATGTTTTCTTGGTGCATAACTTTTTGTTAGAAAGCTTGTAACAATCATTATTTCAATTTAAATATCCTTCTTTTACATTTTTTATTTTATACACTGTTACATAAAAAGAATTTAAGCTTTAACAGCATATTTTCTCATTGGCCAGATCCTCAATTTTTTCTGCTCCTTCTTGGTCTTTGGATTCTTTTCGTATGATGTGAGGGCACGTCTCATAGCCCTGGTCTTCTTGGGTCTCAGGTCCTTGGGCTTATACTTCTTACCCTTGTGAAACTTTCTTAAATTTTCTTTCTGTGTCTGATGAATGACAGTCAGTACTCGAGCAATGGATTTTCTCACAACTCGGCTGAAAAATAAATTTCACTAAATTAATTACTTTATATAATTTAAAACATACGTTAAACACATTATCAGGTAACTTATATTAAACTGCACTAAACATATTTAATTCTTAGTTAATAAATAAAATACTTTTAGAGCATAGAAGATGAGAATATATGTTTTTGACAGATTCCTGATGGATTAACAATGGATCGATAGGACTGATATGCTCAAAAAAGAGGCAAACAGATATTATGCAAGTATTTTCAATACAATCTAACAGACATTCTTTTACGCCTTCATTATTTCAAAATATTTATGATACATTCCATGTTTCTTTTTTCTTATACAATAATCTTTAAATACTTGAAAAAAATGTAAATGTAACGAAAAAAAAAAACTTGAAGCAAATATTATCAGAACTTTTGTAAAACTACGGATGTTGTTTCTAATGCATTTTACAAAAATTAAAAGCTTTGTTACACGAATTGCAAATATACATTTTAAATCTAAACTGCTGTTTATATTACTCACATTTTAGAAAGTTTAGAAGCAGCACCACCTGTTACTTTAGCTACCCGCAAGGCTGCAAGCTCTTGTTTCAGTTCCTCAAGCTTTTTTAACAAGTCTTCTTTCTTTTTCCCTCTGAGGTCTCGAGTTTTTACTTTCGACTAGGGAAAAACCAACATTAATGCATATAATCATTATTCGTAATGAAAGCATTTTGACTTTAAAATAGAATATTTCCAAAAAACTGCTACAGCAATTTGCATCTTATTTTTAAAATGTAACTAACCTTTTCTCCATCTTGGCTATTACCAACATCGTATCTTTAGTTTAACAGTCACCTCATATCTGCCTGTTCATCTTATTTCAATCATTAGGTTTTAACATAATATTTAAATGACTCATTATTGCCCTTTAACTAGTAAGTATACAGTTTAACTTTTATGGTTTTAACCGATCTTGAATCTAAGAATTATACAGGGTGGTCCATAATTTTTTCCTATAATTTAAAAATTAATAAATTAAATAACTATTGAAATACAATCATGCAGTTTTTAACAACTTGTAGCTCAACTCAACAGTTATTATCATGTTTTCTTCCCTTCAGTGGGTAATGTTACTTTAGGACCCAACAAAGCTTCAAAAATTGTGTTCCAAAGAACAGGGAAATAAAAGAGTATGTACTACGACATGCTCTCTCTCACACTGTAAGAAACTGTGTATACTAATATATTAAAGTAATCAAATGTTAACATTTTTCTTAATTGAAAATACATCTTAAATAGATACCTCTATACGCAAAAAGCTGTTTTGCTCTTGAAGTCACGCTATCCCATTGAGAAACTTGCATGCCATCAGCACTGTGTAAACTATCACTTAAAATGCATGTGAAACACGTGAATTTGTGCTACTCCATGATGACATATCGTCTGGCAATACCCTCCACCAGAAGGATTGCAACACACCTCCTTGCACAATTACTCCTTCTACATTCACGTGCGAAAAATCCCCATTTTTTCATTTAGCAACCAATAAAAGTTCACCAGAAAAGTGAGGAAGATGGATGGGAACGTGTATGGATGTATCTATTGAAAATACATTTTTAGTTAAGAAAAATGTTAACTTTTGGTACAATCACTCACTTCTGTACACATAAAGCTAGAATCCAACATTGAGATGGTGGTTTGACCAGTGCATAATTTACCTAAATGAGCTCCCGTCAGCAAACCCATGGTGGTGTAACATCCTATTTCAGGGGCTCTATAGGGGCACACCCATAGGAGACCACATCTAACCTTACCCAGGGTATACTCTTCACCCCTGAGTATGAACAGTATCAAAAGGATTAGTAGAATAGGTACATGACTGTCCGAGTACTCGCATAAAAGTAATTGGACATCCATTATATGTTGTGAGGTTTGGTCTCATTCAGATTATACCTTGTGTGTACACTTTCTCTACCAGTCAAAACAAGATGCGAGAGAAGGGTACTTGTGATAAGTATCCATGCATAGCTCCTCTACCATCAAACACTATGGGCCCTTGAGGGAGTAGGGTGTGTGAGTGATACATCATTTGTTCTGCCATTGGATATTGAGAGTTCAAGCTACTGCAGTAGTAGTAAATATGATAGACGTATAAAAAAAAGCTGGGTATAAAGTGATATGTGTCCATAATCCAATTGGAGATTGTCATGTATTAATATGAAGTGGGGTGATCTGCACTACACTCTGGAAACACCCCTGCCCCTCTTCTTACTGCAGAAGGACCCACTGTTTTATCCCTGCTATTAGGTTCTATTTGGTGATTATTCTCCATGGACCACCAACCACAGGAACTGGTCAATAGTAAGGGTCTTCCATGCTCCATCTGAAGAGGTGGGGATAAAATCACGTACAGTAGACTCAGAGAATGTCACCAGATTAACATCAAGTGCCTGTTTGTAAAGGTCTACTGGAGGCAGTGCGATACTTGAGTGCAAAAACCTATGTTTAAAAGTCAACACGCACTAGCCAGGTGCACAACACTGGTTCTGGCTTTTTTATGACAGTCCATGAAAGTGGTACAGTCTGGATCAAACTATTGAATGTTATATAGTATTACCATGAGTAAAACTCCAGTGGTGGAAATATTGCGATGCAAATGAGTGTAGGGTAGTCCACATGCCAGCCTGAAGAATCTTAAGCATTTAATGGTAGAACTTAGGTGAGAATTGAAAAGTATATAGAGGTGAATAAGATATTGATTAAAAGTTAGGAATGAGTCAGAAATTTACACAAGCCATCCCAAGTGAGTGGCTTCATAAAGAATGAAGTTTGATGTACAGATTCCACTGGAGAAAATGTGAGAGGAGAAGCCTGTAGACCATATAGAAGTGAAACTGTAGTCCTAAACTATGGAAATTACATAAGAAAGCCCACATAATACGAAAGAAGCATAAGGGGATAACACTATTCTCAGTGGAAGAAAACAGAACTGATAGACATAGTTTCTATGGCCGAACATGAGGAAAGGTTGTGAGGTATGGGCTATCTGTACATGGAGATTGCATCCATCACACCAGTCTCGGTAATCTATAGGTTTGGTTGGAAAGACCATAGGAGAGCAAAGTAATTCTCCTTCTGAAAATGAGTGATGACCAAAATATGATCAGTGGAGGATATATCAATGAACAAGCACTAGTCTCCAGTCTGGGGAAAATGAAGAAGCAAAAATAAGAACCCAGAGAAAGGTTAGGAACTTGCACTATATATTGCTTTTCCAACAAGTCTGAAGGTAGCCTGGGACAGAAGAAAAAGACTAGACTGTGGGCCAAGACTTCAATGACCCATTTGTCTGTAACAAAATGAGCCCACAAAAGAGTAACCTGGGACAGTTGTGGCCTCATTGTACCTGAATCAACTGGATGGTCAATGAGAGGGAGACTGGGTGGAAGGAGGATTGAAACTAGCAGTAGAGGGGTAGGTGATGTCATGAGATGGATATGGAGAAGTGAAATTGGGACAAACTTGAAACTAATGAGAAAAGGGAAGACTGATGGCAGGCAGCTTCAGCTCATGATTCCAAGGAATTATTGACACTGCCAAGTAACTCTTGATGGAGGAAGGGGGCAAAGTGAAGATCACAAAGGAAGAAGGTTGGTAAATGGGCATGAGAAGGTAAGGTGTAGAAACACAAGAGGTCCTAACAATAAGGAACCAAGTGAGAAGTGCAGAGGAAGTGAAAGGAAGGGTCAGAGTTTTTCCTGTAAACTCATCAGGGGAACAGTGGAATGCCCCCATTATGAAATGGAGAGAGAGGAAGGGCAACAAAGGAAAGCAACTTTAGGCACTAGACAGAAACATAGCAAAGAGTCTGTCCCCCAGATTAGAAATTTGACTCCAAGGACTGGATATCTTGGAAAGGGAAGGACTGGAATTAATTAAGTAGAAAACAATCAAACAAAAAGAATGTGGCAAAAGCAAACCTATTCTAGGAAGGATGAAACAATAACCAAAACCAAGAAATTGCAAGAGGAAGGGATTTGTAAGAGATCGGGAAGCATCATAAGTAATGGGGTAAGCACAACGAATGGTTCCTATCTGGGAATAAGTTCTTAGAAAACCTGAAGGGGAATGAACGTGTTCTTGAGAAGGAATGAAGGTACCCTAGGCAAAGACAGGAGGCCAAAAAAATTCATTTCATATACCTCAACTTCAGATTCAAAATAAAAAAAGGGAATGGTGTGACAAGGATGGAAGATGAAAATCTTGGTGGCAACTTGGACCCCACTACACGTTAGACAATGCTGTCACGATCTCTACAGGCAAAGAACTTCCTAATTTGTTGGCAATTATGAATTCATATTGAAAGGATGAATACACAAACTAAAGTTGTTGAAGTAAAATATTTCAAAAAAAGGCTCAGCAAAAATAAACACACCTTTGCACAACTGTGCCAAGAAAAAGAATGAGAATTATCACACTTGAATGTAGATGGAGCATTTGTGCAAGGGGTGTTGCTATCTTACTGGTGGAGGCTTTTGCTGCATATGTGATCATGTAGTAGTGCAAATTCACACGAATTTTAGGTGGGAGTTTTTACAAGGCTGGTGGCATGTAAGTTTATTAGGCAGATAGCATGCAAATAAATTTTGAAAAATTACAGAAAGGGTTAATGAAGTACATATATGGGTACAAATGTACAGCTGTTTAAACTTCATATTTACCAAAGAAGCATAAAATTATGTATTTTACTTCTGTCACTGTTTAATTAAGAGCATGTCAAATTCAAAACAAAGTAATCTCAGAATTTCATACGACTGTAAGTAAGCTAACTTTTTTCATAAAATTGTTAAAGTTCAGTAGGGCTCTTAATAGGCTTCAAAAAGCTATGGTTAATCACTATGACTAAAATTTTAAGAGTACAATTATAATTAAGAACATTAAGTCAAATTGTTAAGCATGTTTTCCATGTTAGATTATGTATGCATATACAGAGTTAATTATTTGGAAAAACTTTAAATAAATAATGTTTAATCATAAATATGTTCCAAAACTTAAAAATTGTATGTATATTTATTTGACATTCATCCAAAGTTTATTCTCATACTGTTTGCTTCTTCATCAACAGTGACAAATCCATTCAACTGCTAGGGCAAAAATTCATCATCAGTACAGTCCAATTCTAGCATAAAACTCATACTAATTTTATTTTCCATAACTCATCTTCATTGACACTTATTACTTGAGTGGAGAGAAAACACTTTTTCTCAGCAATTTAACAAAAAAAAACTTGCTTGAAAACATTTTGATTTGTAAATTTCACTTTACAAACACAGCTTTTAAATGTTTTTATGAGTATATATTCCAAAACTCAACTTAAGTAGGTGTTTGTTATACTTTACACACTGAAATAATGCTTTCATATAGCTAATATTTGAACAAATCTTCATTAAAAAATGGTTCCAAAAAGTGGAAGTATCCAGTTTAAAATCTGGGAGATTAGCGGAAGTTGATAATTGATTAATCCTTGGGCTCATACGAGACTTTGACAGTTGGAATAATCAAAAACAGTAACAATCGGAAACTTTAACTTTGATTATTTTTGAATTATTACACAAAGCAAGAGGAACCCTGAATTAATCAAAATATTTAAAAAATATAACTGCCCTATTCTGCCTACTTTGATAGTTCGATTAGTTGAAAAAAATTTCAGTTAGTTGATTATTTTTATGACATAAATCAATGCGCATAGCTAATCAACTACTTAGAGTTAATTATTCAGATGTGTAACACGTACGTTTGACAATGGGTTAATAAGGAATTTGGCTGCAAGTTAAATGTTACTATTCAATGTGACTTGCATATTAAAATCTCTTAACTAAAATTATATGAACAAATATGATTTTATATAACAATGAAATGTGACGTTGGTTTAACTACTTAAAGTAGGCCCATGGTTTTACTTTTGAAAAATTAACATGAACAACTTGTGTTAATATATATATATATATATAAGCAAAAAACATTTTAATATATCAAACTTAACTCTTTTAGTATGGGCTCAGTCCCTGGGACCGACATTTCATGCTATAACCTTTAAATTAGTAAGCAAATGTTAAAGAAATTTGGCAGATTATCAATAAACATTACAATGCTTTCATAAAAAAGAAAAGATATTTTTGGTAAGTCTTAAGGTTTGTAAAGCAATGTTTTTCTTATGACTTTTTTTTTTTCTTTTTCGGATGTTGCCTATCTATCATGCAAAGTAATATTCATTTTAAGATTAAAAATACTTTTGTGCATCAGAAAATTTTAAAATTTTACATGCAAAATCTTTATAATGTCCAGATAGTTATCAAATTTTTCTTAAGAAAAAAACATTTTATCTGTTATTTTCAGTAACTAATCTTTGTACAAGTTTGGTAGATTTGACTAATCTCACAACCATAAAAAATTAGTAAATAAATATAACTTTTGCCTCTTTCATTCTAGAATGAACAGAGATTATAACATGAAAACAAATATTTAGACTAAATAGCTTAAATCTCATAACATTATACATTTATTATTTTTATCATATAGACCTTTCAAAATGAGCCTAGCTAACAATACAGAAGTTACAATGATGCGGCTCACATACACTCATGTTACCGTATCAAATAACATAAAACTGATCTTTGGTCTGTACAAAGTAACTTGTCTTGGCTGTGTCAGTCACATTTCAATTATTATATATTATATATTTATATAGATTATTGCTATTTTGAAATAAGTTCTTAAACTTATTTTTCTTATAACAGAACAGTAACTAAAGTAAACAATTATCTCTTCTAGTTACGATTTTTGTACTCTGTTTGCTGCTTGATGTAGTTGCTAAGCCTTTAAAAACTTTGCACATGGAAGATAATTTTTTTAGGTTTTGTATATATTTGAATTACTAAAAAATAACAAGTTACTATATTAATACCATAGAATTACACTATAATGTATCAAGCTTAGTAACTAAGATGTATTTTAGTCTAAAAAATATATAAAATTTGAGCAGACTAAAGACACACTACCTTGTTGAAATATTGGTTCAAAAGCAAGAAATAGCGCGAAGCCTGTTAAAATGGCTGAGAAAGCCACTAAGGGGACATTCTCAGCTTTTGATTGGTTATTCATGTCATATATAGACGTAAGCCTATATAAGGGAGTGTTTCCAAAAATGAAAAGAGGAAGGAAGAGTGCCAGTGTTTGATTTATTACATGAGCAATATCTTAGCAAATTTAAAAGACAAGAGGCTCTTATTTTATATTCTAACTTGTCAATATCAGTAATTTGAGTTCCTAATTCATAGGAAACTATAGGCTTAGTATTTTGAAATAACAAGCATCTAATTTGAACCAGTGCTATTTTCAACATACCACGTGACACACAAAAATCAATGTTTATGTATTTGTTTGTAATAAGCACAAAGCTACATAATGGGCTATCTGTGCTCTGCCCACCACAGATATCGAAACCCAGATTCTAGCATTGTAAGTCCACAGACATACCGCTGTGCCACCGGGGGGAGGGGGGGATTTGTGTTTTTTTTAGTATTTGCTTTTAAATTTAAAGAAATTAGTAATATATAGTACTAAA